AGGGCGGGGGGATTGTGCCCTGCGGAGGGCCCTCTGCGCTTTCGGAGGCCTAGAAGGGGCAGCGCCCGAGAGCCCACAAAGGATATCGATCTAGGCCAGGGCGGCGTAGAAAGTCCTCTGCAAAAGTTGGCACGTGGCGGCACAGTGGCTTCCCTTGGGTGTCATCTGCTGAGATTGTCGAGGGGCCCCTAGGGAAATATGCCCAGCCACGTGTTGTCTGGGAAACAAGAAAGAGGATGCCCTAGAGGGCCCTAGGCAGCCTCTGGGGAGCCCTGAGTCTGAGAGCCGGCCGGGAAGGGTGGAGTGTGCCATAAAGAGCACTTGTGCCCCTCGCTGGGGGAGATACAGAACTGGTCCAGGAACGCACAGTGGGTTCCTAGGAGACATTCGGCCCGGGTTGCCTTGGGACAGCCTCAAGGCAAGGGGCTGTCAGGAAGCCCCACTGGGCCATGTAGCCACCACTGCCAACACCTGGGTTAAAAGGGTCCTGGGGGACAGCTTCCAGGGCAGCATAGCAGCTGGTGAGGCGGAGGCATGGGGGATAAGTGCATGCCCACAGCCAAGGGCAGCTCTAGGGAGGGCTGGGCGAGGGGAGGGGCCCAGGCAGGCAGTACTTGTTATAGAGGACGATGTCTGGCCGCCACACGAGACTGCTGGGGATGCGTATGGCATCCAGGCCACCATAGTCGTCGGGGTCCCATCGTAAGTAGGCATCTGTCCACTCCTGTCGGATCCACAGGTATAGGGTCAGCACTTGGTTGCGCTCATCCTAGTTGGGGTCAGAAAGTGGACACAGATGTGGACACATGTACATGCATATCCTCCCCTGTGTGTGCACACTCACCTATAGATCTCTGGTCAGTACCCACAAACCCAGCTTGCCCATATAGTCCAGTTCCTACCCAGGCCTTGTTGTGACCTTGGCAGGTCCTTTTCTTCTCCAGGCCTCAGTTTCCTTAGTAGTTACATGGGTGATAATCCCTGCTGGGCAGGGATTCAAGTGTGCAAAATGTTGGTCACCCCATGGGCACCCAACTGTATCCAAGTTAGCAGCTATTATTATTAATGTTTACAGAAAAGAATTGTTAATGAATAATCCCAATCTCCCACCCCCAAATTCCTCGACACTCACGCTCCACAGTTATACAACCACCACAACATACCATATCGATGATCTGGGACAATGTCACCTCCAGGGTCACGTTCAGAGCCTGATCTGTATCTGCCACAGGTCTCAGGGCACTTGTGTAGTTGGCGAAGAGGTCACGGAACAGCTTGTGAGCCAGCCTGCCCTCAGCTCCCAAGCACTCTGGGGGACCAGTAAGAAGGTTTACCCTTGTCCAAGAGACTGCGCAAACCCTCCACCCACACAAGGCTGGGGCTGTCACTTGCTCCACTCTCTCACAGTGGTCTGACTGGTCCTCTGTCCCCCAGGCTGGGACTCTAATTCTTCCCTGGCCTCCTAGGGATAAATGAAGTGAAGTAGGTGGAGTGAATTGGAACTGTCTTCTGAAGCAAGGCTGATTTCACCCCCACACCTTTCCTTTCCCCAAAACCTGGATTCTGCCTGCCCTGCCACGAATGCTAGAGGGGCCCAAATAGGCCACAAGAGTCCCAGCTCTCACCCAGGCATCTGAACCCCATTGTCCCACCCCCTCCTGTCTCTCAAACCTGCCTCCACTTCTCCAGTTGCACTCCCGTTAATTTCTTCAAAGCCTCTGACACTATGGGCCAGTCCCTCCTGAAAACACACCCTTCCCTAGGCTTTTGTGACACACCATATTGTCCTCCATCCCTGAATGAAGCCTTGTTTCCCAGAATCCTGTCCTTGGCCCTCGTCTCCTTTTTCTCCGGTCTCCTGAGCTCCAGATCCATATATACAACAATCCACTCTTGAATGTCCTGTAGGCACCTTAAACTCTCTAGGTCCAAAATAGGAACTCATTTCCTCCCCCCATGCTCTGGAAACCTGATCCTTGTTTGGTGTTCCGGGTCCCAGCAAACAGCACCCCCCAGTGACCTCAGCTGGAAATTTGGGAATTACAGCTCCCTCCTCCTGTCCGTTACCCCTGCAAACCAAACAATACCCATAACCTGTCAGTCATACTGCTGAACATCTTTTGAATGTTTAATTTCCTCTCCAGCTCAGGCCTCATCCTTCCTCTCACAGACCACAGCAGCAACAGCCTCCTCACTGCTCCCCTTTGTCTAAGGCTCAGCCTCTGTAATCATCCTCCATACTTTTGAGAGATCAAGCTTTTAAACATGCAAATCTGACCAGGCCAGTAACTGCTCAGAACCAGTCCATGGCTCCTCATTGCCTGCTGGATAAAGCCCCAACTTAGTCTGGCACTCAAGGCCCTTCATTTTCTGGCCCCTGGTTTTGCCAGCCCTATCTCTGGGAGTAACCCCCAGCTCACCCCTCCCACCTCAGTCAAGCAAATCTCCTCTTACCCTTTTCTGCACCCCCTTCCCCACACTCCCCAGGGAGCTTGTTCTCCAGCACAGGTACTGAAGAGAGAGCATGTGGGGAGAGATTTAGGGGGACAAGGACAACAGCAACACCCAGAGAGGCCAGGCCTGGTTTACTGAGCTTCATACCTGGAAGGAATGGGAGCAGGAACAGAAGGCCCAGTCTGGAGACAGAGAAGCCAAGACTGAAGTGGTAGCTTCTGGGCCCCATGGCTACTTGCAGGGCAGGTCTCTGGGTGTGAGCCTCCTAGCCCAACCTAGGGCAGCATCAGGGCCTGCTAGCAAGGATGGTGTGGACCATACCTGGAAGTCAGAAGTAAGATCTTTGTCGGGTCCAGCTACCCACTGGAGAGCCCTGCAGCCCATCTGGTTATCTGACCCTCCTTTTTGTACCTGCCCTTGGATTTCAGTACTTGGTCCTCTGCACCTGCTGCTTCTCCTCTGCTGGTCCTTGCCTCTTCTGGCCTCTGTCTCTGCCCCGCCCCCCAACCCCTTTACCTCTCCCTCAGCCTGTTTCCTTCAGTCTGTGTCTGTAACTTTCTTGGTCTCTCTTGGCTTCCTTGTCTCTAAACTCCCTCTTTCCACTCTGTTCTTTTCTCCTCCTTCTATCTCA